CCTCCATGCAGCTGTCCAGAAACCACCATCTCTCATCTTATAGACCTCCATTGCCCTGACACTACATGAAATGTGAGGAGTTTCTATGATGCTATGATTCTATGACCTTGCTGCCTTACCTGGACCCAGGCCCCTACCCCTGTGACATTCCTCCTCTGGAGACTGACTTCTCTTTCCCAAACCCCTGATGATACATGCTGAGGGAAGATTGTACCCTCAGTAGACTGTTCTTGGAACACTCTCCACCCACCTACCCAACCACCAGTTTTTGTCTCAGGAGGAAGAATTCCTATTTATGACTCTACCTGCTGCCCAGCTCTCTGTATCATTCTTTCTCATCTCCACTGCTGTTGCTCTCACCGAACCTGCACAGTTCACAGCCCAAGGACATCTGCAGAAGACTTTGGTGGCTCTTCAGGAAAGTAATAGCAGGTTTGGATGTAGAAAACTATCCCAGCTGGAATAATTAGCACAGAGGCTGACATGTAGTAGGTGCTTTATAAATGTTTATTGACTATCAACTTAAGATCTTGAGTTGCCCTGGCTAATATTTATGAAGAAGAATCTTTATTATCACTTTATTTTGCTGTTTAATTAAAAATATTCTACATTGAACCAAGATGTCCTCTGGTTATCAGGTTTAAAAATAATACACACTGGTGAGGGCTCTTGAGATATGGTTTTGATGGGGCAGTTAGTTGGTACCAGCCCTGGAGTCAGGAGAACCTGAGTTCCAATCCGGCCTCAGACACATAACACTTACTAGCTGTGTGACCCTGGGCAAGTCACTTAACCCCATTGCCTAGCCAAAAAAAAGATGAGATATGATTTTGAAGAGATGTTGACCCTTGAACCTGGGGGAGTTTTGAGGGACCCTGGTGGGGGGTGGGGAGGGTGACTCAGGTGCTACATATAAATGGTCAATTATTATTATAGTTACTCTATTACTGAGTAAATTCTCCAAATCTACGTAAACTTCCCTCTTTCACTTTCTGCATTATTCACGGATGCAGCCTTTTCCCAGCTTATGTCCACAGAATAAAAGAACTGAGCATTATCAAAAATATTTTATGTCAACAGACAGCACATTGAAAAATACCAACAAGATTTTCTAGTGTTAAGTATACCAGTGCACATGAGAGAACACAACTGCTAAAGAACTAATTAAAATATATAGATATTGCAAAAAAGAAAAGAAAAGAAACAACTTAAAGCATAGGAAATTTACATCCCTTTCTGACTATAGCTTTTCTCCTAGTAGCACCCTTTTTACTGTTTCAAAGGAACACGTCTTTTGGGGAAACTAACCCAGTGAAGTCCCTTCAGAATTGCTTAATCAAAGTTTCCAATGGTGACAGCGGTCAAATGGCTTGAACACAGAAGGACCACATATGACACTCTCCTTTGCAAGCATGTCTTCTTGAGTTCCCCTCTCCCCCCAAAGACAAATTAAGTCAACAATCCTACCATCCATTCCTATGAGGTGCCTTGCCTGAAAGATGTAAATGTTGCTCTAAATGAAAAAGTGCAGAGTGTGATGGATTTTATGTGTTTGTTTTTGCTTTTATAAAGTCTGAACAAATTACTGGATTCAAAATCCAGATATCTAGCCAAAATATCCCAACTTGACCAGCATTCCTTGGTTCTTATGATCCTTAGACTTGTCACCACCATCCCACCACCCCCGGGATCTGGAGAGTGGGGAGATGTCTCTACCCAGAAGAGAAAGGAGTGGGCAGACTCTTAAGACCCAGATTTCTCCATAGCACCAACTGTCCTAGCTGACCCCTAAAGTGCCTGAATAAAGCACCCTGGTCTTGTTTTTCATTCTGAAATCTCTCAATGTCCATTGATCCCGGAG